GCCTGCAGCTTGGCTAACGGGTAACCCTCCTTTCCCGGGTAACCCGCCTTCACCATTGACAAAGGTGAAAAATGTTGTCTTTAACCCATACCTATAATTCAAGATCCAAATGAAAATCTCCAGATGCCGAATCTGCGTCCGTCAGCGTGGATTATTTTCGAAACCGATATTTTTACACCTACCAATTGTTCCTTATTATAGTAAAAGCTGATTTTGGATGTTTAGATTATAAGGAAAAACAAAAGCTTGCCGCTGATGCCATGTACCAGGTCGAGCATGGTGTCAAGGATAAGGAGAAGGCAGCCACTATGCACCCAGCAATTGCAGAACTGGAAGCCAGTAGAAGCGCTTTTAAGGATGACTTTGCGCTCAACTGTCTTGCCAGAAAACAATTTCGGGTAAATCTAGTTTAGCTAGATATTAATTAATATTTGCTGTACAAGGAATACATAAGTGATGGGTTCTTATCTTTGAAACTTTAAGGAAGCCAAGCGTGCTGCCAACAAATCGGCTTTGCAAGATGAGGCCCTAGTCAATCGGCTGTCCTTAGCTGGTTCGCAGATTAAGCTGCTTCCTGAAGCAGATGATGATGCCAGCAAGGCCAAGTTAATTCGTCTTATGCACGAAAAATATCAAGGTACGTTACTCGAGTTTGTTGACCGTTGTATTTTGCTTTTTCTATAGTACCGCACCTTATCCGCTATTCTTATGAGTACTTAGATCATCTTAACTGTCTTTTTTAAAGTTTCTTATTGTTTATCCACAAGTATCCTCACCTCCATGGTCATACTATTTATGTATGTAATATGTCGACAAAGTGCACGAAGATGCTGTAGCAGTCACATTAGTTTCTGCAATATACTTTGGACTAATAGGCCAGGCTGCTAGTCAGTGGATGAAGTCGCTATGTTTACGGGCTACGCCAAACATTACGGCAGTAGCTGCTCGAGCCAGCCAAGCATGCGGTTTTGTTGTGGGCCAAGCGATTCGGTCGACACATACGTCATCATTTTGGAATTTTATTACCCATTTAAAATTGGCTTGCTATTAGCATCGTTCTAAACAGCGCTCCAAACTCGTGACCTCGGTTTGACCAAATTCTGTCCTTCTGGGTGCGTGCTATGCGAGAAAATGTATTTTTTTACCATAAGCCTGACCATCGGAATAGCTGCACAATCTCCTGGACTGGACAGATAAACCAGCAGCGTCGAAAGGAAAGGATTTAAAAACCAACACAGTACGCTGCGACAGGCAGGAATTTCCACTCTGCCACCCAGGAGTCGCAGAAAAACCGCCCAAAAGCTACCCATCACACCAACTCCCTGCAAGACTAGACCTCAGGTCAACTAAAAAGGCGTGTCATGATCGCTCCGATTGATATTACTCGAATTCAGCGATTTCGAGGGCAACTCTGGACCACATTGCCAGATGACGAAACACCGAGGGCCTACCTTGCTACAGAGGGAGAGAGAATACTTTATTTTAAAGGTAATATCCAAAATTTTCAGCAAAAAATGGCTCCATTCACAAAGAGCAAGAGATAAGGTAAGTTAAGGAGTCATGGTAAAAGGTCATAGAATACAGGTGTAGATAGACGGCCCAACTCAGTCGTTGTGGCTCCAGTCGAAAGCGAGCGGAAATAGACCGTTCAGTGAACCCCTTCCTCAGTCTAAATGGTGTTAGGCTCTAGGTTGCCAAGTTACTACCACGGAGTCTGGATACCGAAGAATCAGCCATACTTGCAGTGCAATAATTTTGAAACACACAACCCGCCCAAAGT